CGAGAAGCGGAGGCTCCTCGCCAAGGCGGTCGCCGACTCGGTGCGGCTGATCAACGGCAAGGTGTCGGAGGCGCTCGTGGGGATGGATCCGCAGCAGCAGGCGCAGATCGACCAGGCCATCATGGACTTGGACAAGGCACACCACAGGGTACATCCCCGAAACCCCGATTGTTCCTTCTCTCATTCTCTGTTGCTGATCTGTTCCTGCATTGCCAAGCTCTATTTGTGTACATATGATAATTGATGATTATATGAGGATGCTGTTATGCTGTTTCTAGGTGTTTTCGCTAACGGTATACTCCAATTGTATACTATGCTACACGGTGGCAATATTTGGCACTGGCTTGCTTCATTTTAGGCTTCCCTTCGGGAAATAATGCTGTGCCATTTTCGATGGTTGTAATGAATACTAGTTTACTAGCATCTCAATTTTTTGTACCAAAAAACGAGTATCTTGTGTAGTTAACAAAAGTTTCTGTGGATGTGCATTGTCCTCTCTGGTTGGAGGGCACCATGTAACACATCCTGCGTACAAGGTAACTAATTAACTATGACAACCATGTTCAGACTGAGGTTGGAGCGAATGCTATGCTGGCCGTATCAATTGCAGCTTGTAAAGCTGGTGCTGCTGAGAAAGAGGTATCACTTATATTCTTTATCTGGGTCTTAGGTAAAAATTGAGTCTGACGATAACACAAATTCTTATAGTTGTTTGCCTATTTCTGTGCAGGTTCTGCTGTACAAGCATATAGCAGATCTTGTTGGTAAAAGCGCAACGACGCTTCCCGTCCCAGCAATTACAGTCATTAATGGTGGAACCCATGCTGGAAATAATCTTCCCATTCAAGTATTTCCACTTCACATTTAGGATTACCTGTTGTAATAAACTTTGCTTTGCAGACTGCTGAGAACACTCTTTTTTCTTTTTTTTTTGCAAATAGACTGCTAAGAACACTCTCTTAGGCTCTTTTATAAACCCCAAAACTTTGCAGTGTTTGAGATTGTTACTACCTTGTTTCTTACTGTAATATACTACATGTAGTTTGACATCCCAATATACTGTAATGTTTTTGTTCTGCGTAGTACTTTGAAGTAAAGTTTACGTTTCTGTAGGAAATTATGATCCTTCCAATCGGTGCCAAAAACTTTGAAGAAGCAATGCAGATGGGTTCAGAGACATATCATCATCTGAAGGTACCCTCCATTTTAACAAACTGCTTCACAGATATACTTCGATAATAACACCGTGCACACTTTCTTGGCTATGTGCGTGTTGTCTAGTCCCATATTTGGACCAACCTGCTACCTGCCCATCAAACATTCTAGGAACATTGTGTTTCCACGAAATCTTAACGCCTTATGCTAGCTTGCCAACTCTCTTTTATGTCTTCTTAATTCGCTTGGCACTATTTTTTCTCGGTGATTGCTGCTAAGACAAAACAGAGAAATTGCTTAAACATTGGCTGTCCAGCTGTTTAAAAGTTTTGTTTTTATAATGCAGTTCTGCACAGAATTGTTTGCTTATTTTCACTAATGATTTGTTAGGATATTATATGGGAGAAGTATGGTTCAGACAGTTGCAACATTGGCGATGATGGTGGATTTGCTCCTAATATTTCCAGGCAAGTAAGGAATTGATTTTACTTTTTCCTGATGTGCTTTCTTTCTCAGTTTCCCTTTTGAGCACCTACATATGGATATTAACATATACCATATCTATGTCTGGTGAATGTTCAGTATAACCGAAGGCCTGGATCTTGTGATTGCGGCAATAGATAGAGCTGGATATAATGGAAGGATCAAATTAGCAATTGATGCTGCTGCTACTGATTTTTGCGTAGGTAAGGATAAATCAGTGAAATCTCTATCATCCATATATCCTTAGCTGTTAACACCATGGTTTATATTCTCCTTTGGATAACATCTTGGGCATCTACATAACTATACCCAATAGAAATGCAAGTAATGGCGTGCATTTCGCAGATAGTTCCATAGTGTTGCTGTGTTAGAAGGATGTGTTTTTCAGCCTACTGTGTTTTTCAGCTTCTTCTTTGTGTTGCATCGTTGTTGTTTTTACAGCTGCCATTGCTGCCTGTAACAGTGTAGCTTGGTATGCTAGGGCCAGTTAAAGCATACTATTGTAATCAGCATTTGCAATCAGGCACCATTTGACCAATCTCTTGCTATTTTCCTGTTGTTATACTTTTTGGAAGTGTGCGACCTTGAAACATGGAAAACAATGAGTTTTCATTCAAGTTAGAAACAGTGAGCTTGAATAGCAGTCAGATGTACTCCCTCCGTCCCGAATTACTTGTCTTAGATTTGTCTAGATACGGAGTGTTAGATACATCCGTATCTAGACAAATCCAAGACAAGTAATTTGGGACAGAGGTAATATATTGTAGGCTATTGTTAATTAGTCTTACTATTTTCGCGAGTTAACTTCCCTGCTTGCTCATGCATCTCTTTGCAGGAAAGAAATATGACCTGGAGTTCAAGTCTGCAAAGAAATCAGGGCAAAATTTCAAAACTGGGGACGATATGATTGAGATTTATAGTCAACTATGTTCAGGTATCACTTGTTTGTGGATTTACATATTCTGGGAGACAAATCTTTTGACTTCATGAACCTTATATTTCCTCTTTTTTGTACACTAGAATACCCAGTTGTCTCCATTGAACAGCCCTTTGACAAAGATGACTGGGAGCACTCGAAAAAGTTTACCACCCTAGAGCTATGTCAGGTACCTATTGTGCTTTTATTTTCTACTTTACTGTCAGGAGCTCATGCCATAATGCATTTGCAGGTTGTAGGAGACGACTTATTGATGTCAGATCCTGAACGCATTAAGCGGGCAGTAAATGAATATAGTTGCGACGCTCTTACTCTCAAGGTAAGTCACAAATCATTCATTTGTTTATTGATGTTTATAAACTTGCTGCTTTGTGCTAGTTACTGGGACCGCCGAAGGCTAACAATACCACAGACTCTGGAATTAGGCTTTTTTTAAGCTGGAACAAGCCACAATTCATTTTGACTAACCACAGCAATCTTTGTGCCTGGACACTCAGTGTGGTTCTTTGTTTGATTCAATGCCGCTCATTCAGAAATTCGCTTTGGCACATGGGAGCGCGCGCTCCTGCCACCAGAAAAAATATTTCAAAGTGTGAAAAAATTCGAAACAAAAATTTGGTGCATACATCTCGACATTATATGTGTGCACGTCAAGTTTCGGAGAAAAACGACATTTTTTGTGGCTTGTGTAAAAAAGACAAAAAGATGTCTTGTGAAAAGCACTTTTTAACACTGGATTTTGTCTTTTTCACACGAGACACATAACTTGTCGGTTTTTCGCGAAACGACTTTGTGAGCATGCATAATATCGAGATGTACGCGCCAAATTTTTGTTTGGAATTTTTTGACATTTCAAAATACGCTTAAAGCACATTTTAAAAACCAGGAGCGTGCGCTCCTGTGTGCCAAAACACCACTCTCGCCGCTCCTTCCATTTTGTGCCTATTATTTTGCATGGCATGATTTGAGTTTAAGGGCATTTACAGACAATGTGATGTAGTACCTGAATTCACGAAGATGAGCAATTAATAGTTGAACTGATTGTAGGCACATAAGGTTGCAAGAGCCACATGATTGCACATGCAGTACTTGCCTCCTTGATTCTTCCTTGCTCTCTTGATTTCTGTAACTGTCCAGGGATTCTCTGTTTCATGTACCTTATTATGTGTTTCCTTTTCTTATCATGTGTATGTAGGCAAGTCAAGTGGGCACTGTCACTGAGGCCATAGAGGCTGTGAAACAGGCAAAGGATGCTCATTGGGGTGTGATGGTGTCACATAGGTCTGGGGACACGGATGATTCTTTCATCGCCGACCTGGCTGTCGGTGCAGCAGCTGGACAGATCAAAGCCGGTGCCCCCTGCCGCGGAGAGTGCCTCACGAAATACAATCAGGTTTCTGTTGAATGCTTGCTGCCTTTTATGTGGATAAATGCACCGAAGTGTTGGTCTAAAGTCATAGTACCATATGGTCATTCTAAATAGCTTCTTAATTTGTCTTGAATGGTCTTTGATGTTTGCAGCTTCTAAGAATAGAGGAAGAACTTGGAAGCGAAGGGGTTTACGCTGGTGAAAATTGGAGAACTACCTCGAGCTGACTTGTGGCTTACTGGATTCCCTTGATGCGGTCCGGGGGGGGGTTCTGTAGAAATGTTTTTGTGCTGGCTCAGCAAAGGCAAGGAAAGAGGGTAGCTTAACAAACTGGGGAAACTTTCAGGCACACATTGGTTTCTTAGGTGTAGTGGTTGAACTGCTGAGACTTTACTTTTGAGAGATGTTGAGCTATGCCTTTTTTTCCTTTTCATTTATATGTGATATGGAATGGATCGTGCACAAGATACATGAATTTGAGAATGGGTTTGAAGGAGTAGAGTTTTTCATTTATACAATATACACAGTTCCAATATACTCCCTTCGTTTCTAAATATAAGCCCTTTTAGATATTTCAATACAGACTACATACGGATGTATCTCATTTTGTTCATATGCAGTTCATATTGAAAACTCTAAAAGGTCTTATATTTAGGAGCAGAGGGAGTAGTTAGTCCAAAGTGTTTGTTCTACTGAGAGCAGTTTGCTTGAGCTCAGCTTATTAATATGGTAGAAATTGTGGAACAGTCGAGCAAATATCAAACCAGACAGCAAAATGGTATGCTGAAGTATTGAAGCACTGAGGCACGCAAAGAACTCCTTATATCAACGAACAGAAAAAAAGCACACAGTACTTGATGCACAACAATTTCTTCCGAAATGACATCCAACTCCATGGTTCAACAACGTGATCGAGCTAGCACATAAGGGGACACGAAATATGGTCCTGGTATCCCCAGAGCTAGAACACAGCACACAGCAGGTTACAATCGTAAAAAAAGAGCAAGGCTTTCCAAACTTTCGCCCTCAAAGCCCACTTTAAAGATGACAGCATAATCAGGAGGATTCAGCTGCCGCCGGCGCTGCCTGTGCCGCCGCCTGTGCTGTTTGCGCCTCTGCTGCGCGCTTGACCGATGCGCACTTGATCAGATGGTTGTAGCTCCCCTTCTCCTTGAAAAGCTGGGAGAAATGGTGCTTGCAGTAGAGGATGCCTTCCAAAGCCGCGTAGTTGGACGGCGAGAGGGCGCAGCCTCCATGAGAGCATTTGAAGCAGGACTTGTGGTAGGACTTCTCTTCAACAGTCACCTGCAAGATTTGATTTAACAACTAGGCATGAGTCATCTGCATGTTATGGAGGCTTTAGGATATAACTGAAAAGGAAGTTGATTCAAGACAATTATGATGGAAGTTGGCTGCCTTTTAGAGTAAAGCGAAGGCTACACAACTATGTCCAAAGGTACAGGTAAAATAAACCCTTAAATCGCAAAACGATCAGTCAACAGTTTTCACATTCCGAAATATCAATTGTTTGTCCTTCAATTGCAAAACGGTCAATCCGACAGTTTTCACATTCCGAAACATCAATTGTTTCATGAAATGGAGAAATTCTGATACATCTTCGCGAGCTATGCTGACGCCTAGGTCACGAAACAAAACAAAACAAATATGACATACTCGGTGATATTACCTTCTCAAGAGGGTATGCTGTTTTACCACAAGTGGCGCACTTGTCCTGTGTTCCCGAAAACATGCCCGCAGCTTTGCTTGGCGATCTGGTCTGAAACAGCACATTTCACATAAGACTAACCGAATCGCACGGCAGCAAAGAGACAAGACACACATATAGAAAGAGGCAGCCAATACGGCACAGACCAGCTCAGGAGTCAGCTTCTCCGTCGCAGATTTCGCGGCTGAAAGAAACAAAACCAAGGATCAGGACAGAAATCAAGAAAACAATAGTCACTTTTGTCATGCTGACTGAAAACCTACGTGATTGTGACTGGAAGCTCTTGTTGTAGCTCCCGGTCTCCTTGAACAGCTGCGCGAAATGGGGCTTGCAGTAGGGCACCCCTTCAAACGAGGAGTAGCTGCTAAACTGCCAAACAGCAAAACAAGATAGCCAGACAGATTGTTATTTGTCTTGGTCTTGTTTTTACCAAGCCAGAAAATGCGAATTGGACAAAGTCAATATCTCCTATCCTAGGCACACGATTCTGGCATGGAATTCAAGCGCCAGATCCGTGCGGCAGAGCAGTTCGCAGATCTGACATCGCATTTCATTCTACAGATCCATGGACCGTTGACATCCGTCCATCGATCTTCTTCTTCTCTCGTTGTATCCCGGAACTAAATGAACAGTTGTGGAGATAGGGAGATAAAAGAGAGCGAGAGCGCGAGAGGGAGGTGATGGGGAGGGGACATACGGAGAGGGTGGACTTGCAGTGGTGGCACTTGAAGCAGGCGCGGTGGAAGACGGCGCCGTCGGTGGAGAGCTGGTCCATGGGGTACACCGTCTTGGTGCACACCTTGCACTTCTGCTGCGTCCCGCTGAACATGGTCGCCGTCGCCGATCTGATCTCGGCCTGCGCGCGCCTGATGTGACGAACACCGCCACGAGCGCCCCAATGGCCGCGCTTATATAGGCGGCAGCGGATGGATGGATGGAATGAATTATGGCGGTCTCTCGAGGTGGGGGGCTCGATCGGGCCGGCTCACAGTTGCCGCGGCGGAAAGGAAAAGGGAACCAACGTAGGGGAGGGGAAGGAAAGGAAAGGGAGATGGGATGAGGGTGAGGGGCCGCGCTAGTGCTCTGCTCATTAACGAATACGCAATTAATTAGTAGTATTACAGCCTTGTGCGTACGAGTGGTGTGTGCTCCGCGCACGAACGTGGCTCCGGCTGCACGGCTGTCGGTGGGCCCGGGAACGCGCGGGGACCAGATGTCAGCGGGAGCGTGTTTGGTAGGAAGCGGGAGCGCACGCGGCTCTCGGCCTGGGTCTGACTGGCGCGCGAAGTGCAGCAGAAGCAACGACTACTAGTATTCGCGTCGATGCGTGGGGCCCGGTGGTCAGCCCCTGCGACGGGGAGAGGTGAGAGATATTCTCCTGGGCAATTTGTTTTCATTGGTTAGATATATATAATACTCGCATCTTACACTAAGAAAGGGGTTATTATCCCTAAAAAGAGGGTTATCATACTCGCATATGCTCCTTCCGTTCATTGTTATAAGATGTTTTAGATATTTTAATACGGAGCACATACCAACTAAAATGAGTGTACAAACCTACTAAAACATATCTATATACAACTGGTTTAGAAAAAATAAAACATCCTATAATGTCGTAGTGAATGGAGGGAGCATGTGTTATTTTGAAAAAATTTTAGAACGATTTATTATTTTGATTTGAAGGAGGAATATATGTAGTGCGGGGGAGGGGTGGCTGCCGCAGCGGCGAGCGGTGCGGCCCACGTCGGCCAGCTCTTTCCCTGCTGCCTCGTCGGACCACTCGGCTTGTTCGCGTTTGTTTGTCTATATTTATGCAACAAACAGCGCACTGCGTGAGCATTAATTCCTTCCTGCTACGTACTGTATTTTATTGCGGTGCGAGAGGACAAGGCCGTGTTTTTATTGCATGCACAAGCTAAGCTCGGCCTACTCCGCCTAAAGGAAGAGGCTGAGGCGTGGGGCCGGGCCGTTTAGGCGGGTGGGCCGGTGCCAACTGCGCTGGCACGCACGGCGGTCTAGCTTGGCAAACGGATTACTTTTGCTCATTTATTTGCTCGTGCGTGGCCTGTCTGTGCTTATACGATATACGGGCAGGGCTACAGCTCAATTTCGTAGCGCCCGGTTCAAGCACGGTTAGGAGCATACTGGAATCTGCCCGTAACAGCCATCAAATTTGTTCACTGGACCGGACGGTACCCCTAATAAGCTGATACCAAACACGCCCGTACAGCTCATCCAAGGAAGATATCATTCCGGTCAGCAGTGCGTTGCAAAATCATATACCTAATAACCATCACATACTCGCATAATGATTGGATTTGAAGCAAGTCCCATCGTCAACCACCCAGTGCGAGTGCGACCAACGCACCATTATTCTGCCCGGCACCAACCGGAAACGCAATCAACAACTCCACGGCACCACGCCAACCAAATCACTGCCAAAACAGCACTGCACCATGCAGCACATAGTTAGCTCGTGTGGCGCCATCATCAGGTCAGTGCTAATTCTAGCTCCAAATCCACAAATCCCCAAATGCCCATGACTGTCATCGACGAAACAGCTGTTACAGCATCGTAACTGACAAGCAGGAGCATAGCAGGATCGAAGAATGTAACCATGGAAAGTAAACGGGAATTTGTGTATGCGCCACAGATGGGCGGTGGCTGCCGGTATTCTGATGCTTCATCGGGACACATCTCATGTGCCCATTTTATATCAGCAGATCATAATGGTTCTTCCCACTGTATAATAGTCTCACCGGCACCCGTTTCTTCCCCTCTTTCGAGTCTTTGGTAAACTCCAATCCGTACTCAGCAATTGGGATGAACCCGTTGCCCCGTCCACGGTACTGTTGCACAAAAAAGGGCAGATTAAGCTCGAGATGAAGTGAGGAAAATGGTGAGAAGCACCGAGTCAAGCGTAACATTCATACGAGGCCATCAAAGCCAAACGCTCAAACATGATGGCAGTGGAACAAATAAAATGGTGCAATAATCCACATTGTATTTCCAATTTTGGAGACGAGCTGGATTTAAACATCGAAAAAACGCAAAAGGAAAGGTATTCGCCAATCTTTCAAACAGTTCAATCTGCGCTTCGCAAAATGCCTTTCCAATTCATTTTGCCCAGAATCTCGAATGTTGGGGATTCAGAACATCGGACCAAGGAAACAGAAATCAAAATGCAGTTTCAGTTTTCAACACCATTCTCAAGGAAACTTTAGGCAGATTGTCTAGTTCCAACCGGACTTTTATTTTATGTTATTGAATTACCAGGAAATTTGGCTAAATATTATAAATTGCTAGTACATGTGCCTTCTGATTTGATCAACTTTTATCATAGTACGATGCAATGCCCATAGTGATGATGATGGTGTTCTTAAAGTCACTATTCTACCAAAACCCCTTGTTCAGTTTTTCTCCCTTATCAGTTGGAACAACTATTCCATTGATTTTTTATGAGAATCGCTTCCATCATGTCACAACCATATTATTAAATATAGATGAAGTTTTATTATCCTTCTCCACTCTGCACACATATAGATTCATCATCACCTAGGGCAGTTGAATTTACCTCACGCTCCGGAATGTAAATAATGATTGGTTGCCGACACAGTCTAGACAAAACCTGGAAAGAGGAGATCCCAAATGAAAATCATATGTGAATGAGCCATGTATACAGATACAAAAATTTAAGCAACAACCAACAAATACAATATCAATCTACTCGGAAAAGGGTAGCCTACTTTAGAACATCCAGAAGTTAAACAAAAGTATATTTTTGACTTTATCACGCTAAAAGGGAAGAATGATGCATGAACTGTACTACTTAAAACGTAAAATGACTGGTACGTGCGAGTCGGATGTTCTCCACATGTAATTTGTCGAATAACTGATGCCTACATCAACTATGCATGTTAACTTTTAGAACCATCAAATCCATACCAAGAGTTCTGACTCTCCACCCCAGAAATCAGGTCGCCTTATCCTTTGGCAGTAGCTACAACAGCAGGCACAGCCGTTAGCATCTCTATGTTAATGACATCGAAGTAAATAAAAAAGCTATGGGAACCTAACCGTTTCAAAGATTCATCCACTGTAATAGCTATAATCGCCTCTTCATACTTTTGACGCTCGGTTTGGTTATCACATATAACCTCTTTCACTGCCAGCCGTAGGTCGTCTAGGAAATTGAAGGTAAATTCCAGCATAAAAATATATTTCAAGAATAATCTGTCTTTCAATGGAGACCTGGTAATAATTATACTATATGGCCAGCTCCAAGGTTGAGTGATGGATACTCTCAGGTTTATCAGGATGGGGCAGTTCTAAAGAATGTGCAATGTAAACTCAAAAGAAAGACGTACAGCTCTTCTTCACATATCCCTGGCCACAGGATAAGCTTTTGAGTGTTCCGTATCTTCCTACAGGGAGCCTCTCCAAAATATTTCCTATCACCATCTCTTCATGCTCCAGTGGACTCTTCATTTTTCACTCTCCATATTCCACTATTCTATATTTTATTGATATCATATAAACAACAATATACTTGTAACCGCTATGATTTCAATGGCTATGGACCTAACGACTATTTTTCCGATGGGTATATTTGTAATGGCTACGTTTTTCTGGTCTATACATATGCAAAGTCATTCGCTCTTCCTGATTGTTACTCCTCTACAGCATAACAATGAGTCCTCGCTATTTACTGAAGCAAAGTCTCTTGGATTCATCGTCATCACATGACGGCAATGGACTTATTTTTACTACATACCCAGCACATAATATCCGCTTTTGAATGACTTTACTTTTTGGAATAGTGCAAATTGTACAAGAGCATGACGACTATTTTGTACAGAAAAGAGATAGAGCTGGACATCTTGGGTTATATTCTACAGAGAAGATTACAGTAGCATTTCGGAATGTTAATGTATGACATAGCAACGAATGCTTCAGATGGCTATGTTCGGATTGAAGAAAGTATTGCTATAAAGTCTTACAATTTGTAAAAACTATTGTTGAAGTCCCTGAGGATGAGTATTTGAGATCTTCAAATGAGAATTGTACTGCTGAATGGCTAGC